ATCGTCGAAAAGACATAGGTTTTATCGAATAAAAATGTGTGTTTTCTTAATAAAGTTCTTTTGCAAGCTTTTTTACGAGGGAGTTTGTTTCCAACTTTCGGACCTTTATTATATAGACTGGGACAAAAGTCAGACGCCCTTATCTAATCTGTAGTTATCCTCCAGAACCGTTGCAGCTGGTGCCTTGACTTTGAGAATTTAGAGCCTAATGTTCTTTCCAAATTGCTGTACTTGCTTTCAATGGCGACATTCAATACAAATAAAATTTTATCGATATTGCTGTTTTCTCCAAAACGTTATCATTTTCTTATTTTTCTTTAAAAAAATGTGACAAATGAGGGCACGTTGACCTGTAAAACATTTCAAAGAATCAATCGACAAATTCACAAAATGAAAAGCTGTGTCAATGACACAGAAGTCAGTAATATCAGACAGAGCATAACAAGTACGATTCGTTTTTCATTTTTCACATAATGACACCTCCTTTGAGCACAAAGCCCGTTTTATAGCCATCACAATGGAATTGTGTTCTTTCATCAGCAGGACTTTTATGGTCGTAGCGCAGCTGTGGGTCGCCAAAATTGAGACAGTCATAACTAAGCACTTTTGCTAGACCATCCATTTTGTTAGTCCCGCTCTTTGTTTTCCGTTTATTGCTGAGCTGACAATCAATTTATCGGACTATCATAGATATTTTTCATGTCTGATTTATCTAAAAATAATCTAGTTCCAGGGTAGTTTCGACACTATAATCTATTAATACCCCACTGCTGGTCTAATCCATCAAAAATTTACTTTTAATAGAAGAGATTAATTCTTCTATTAAAAGTGAATATTAGTCTACTATTGCCCTGTATAGGGATTATTTTTAAGTTTCCTTTTCTTGTCCTAGTATATACAATATATGTACTTTATTTTTACTGCTACCTCTAACAATGTATAGATTACTAGCTTTTTCCCGCGATTTTCTTCACCATCTCATATAGTACATGTATACCAAGTTTCATAGTAACTGGTTTAACTATTAAGGCACTGTAACAAACAAAGACACTCTCACACTTATAATATTAGTAAGGATGTTAATAGACTACGTTGTGAACTAAATATAAATGGTAGTTAACATAATTTGTATGCATAATTTTGTTCATAAAATAATTAGGTTTAATTATTCTATTAAGGGGATTATATCAAAATTATTGCCGTGTGGTCCCGGCATAATGGGTCATCCTTTCTTTTCCCATGAGTGTAGTAAATGGCGACTAAGAGAACTTAATGGTTGAGAGATGGGCAGCAGGGTTCCTCTTTATATATCACCAAAGCCTAACTACCGTTGCCAAGTTGCCTGACAAACGTGGCAACTACTGACAAAACACCGCCAATAGGTAGAAACCAATGTTCAACAGTGGACATTTAATGGCTGATATGATGATGATCAAAATTATACTTATTTTATGATAAACAATTATAAACATCACCTCAAATTACATTAATATTAATAAAATTTAAAAGATGACATTGAAAAAGAAAATGCAAAAATAAAATATAGAAAAAATAATAATGAAAAACTGGCTCAATTTATCTGGTCCCAAAATCTGATGCGCGATATTGTTAACTCCCATAGATTATAATAACGTGGAAGTCTCATAAAGAAACTGAACAAAGGGAAGATTAAGGTGTAATCTTATTTAGTACACTTGTAGCAGTAATTGAATTACCACGATATGAAACTGGAAATGTTATTAAAATGCAAAACAAAGTAAGTATCCTTCGTGACGAGTTAAAATTGGCTTTAAGCCATGGATATCGAACTTTGTACGGATGCAGGAAAATATTATGTCTTCGGACACATTCGGTTGTTTGTATCTCTATTTTAGTATCTTGGCAAGTGAATAGAATTTTCACAGATATAAGTATCAATCATTTGAATATAATCATATTATAGCATCAGTGTATGACACAAAAGTAGGTAAATAAATGATAGTGTTTGTCAATGTATTTATTTATCTTCCAATTGTCGTATTTATTAACATTATCTTACAAAATCAAATAGGTAATTTTATTGTTTTGTGTAAATATATAAAATATTATTACAACCATAATGCGTCAGTGTATAATTCTAGATAATTTTTACAATATATAACATGCCAATATTGTATATCAAGAAATAATTTAACAATTTTTCGTTACTTTTAAGTTAACTTCTAATATAAGTGAACTTCCATTATGTTATCACCAAACTATAAGAAAATTAAATATTAATAAAACTATAACTTTTATATATTGTTGGTAATATAATAATAATAACTTTATTGCATAACCATGATGTAGTAGTAGTAACAAACTAAGCACTGGAAATTACAGTAAAAGTAGGTACGAATTCATTTATACATTTAGATCAGCTTAAACATCTGTGTCTGAACTAGATTATAAAAATATAATATATAGTATATAATAATGATTCTTACCAATCGCTACCTTCACTATCGTTTTAATCCTATAGATTTTTTTCTTTTTATGTTTTTGAAAAATTTCAATTCATTGTTCACTCATTCACTTTATGCTAAAGTAACATCAAAAATACTCATGGAAACCTTACATTTCTTCATAATATTAATTGATTCAAAAATATTTTTGTTAAATGTTTGTCCAAAGTTTGTTCGTAAATATGAGTGAAGTCGTACAAATTATTACACATTAGCACATCGACTTAATATACCTAAATGCTATAAAATGACATCACTTTCAGACAGACACCTTATATATGTGTAATATATACTTAATACATTATACATGATAAAAATATTCTCGTGATTTTGCATTATATATCATTTTATTTAGATAGTGATTTTTATCTGATATTGCCAGAATACAATAATATAAAATTTAGTACTCAAACAGTGTCCTTAGTTTCGTAGTAATAGGAATGTGTTGGCAGACAGTTCCTCTAATTTATTAAGGATACTAAATAGAAAATTCGTAAATTGTAAACAGGGCACAATACTGGACAGTGACGCCGCCACTTAAACTCCAAATCTCGTTTACTCCCGTGTCCTTCCAAAATTCCTTTCTTAGTAGATATCTTCAAGTCACAAAACATTTCTAGAATCTAATTTAGATTTTGTCTCTAACGACAACTTTTTTGAAAACCTAAACAAGTGACAAATAAAATTCATTTATGTTGATTCGCTTATATCAGGATGTTATGCTTGTATTCCTCCGTGATTTTCGTTCTTTAATTTCTTATTGATATTTGATACGTGGTAACTTACCAAGAATATTAAAGGCTTACTTTATACTTCATACTCAAAACTTCTGGAAGAATACCCCATAAAATCATTGAATACTAAACGGCAGTCTATAGGGCAGGCTCAGGAGTGATAACGGCTGATAATATGATGATAATGATGCGATTATAGCTTTCTGCAAAATTTTAAACCTGAATATTGAAATGGCGCTTATTCATATTGATTTTTTTCGAAAATCTAACAAATTCAATACGGATATGTGTCCGAAGATTGAAAATCATTCTGATCATTTAATGCGAGAAGGAATAGTTAAAGTAATATTTTAATGGATTGTATTGTATTTTAAATCTTAAAATTAACATGGTAAGGATGTATTAGGAATGCTCATAAACTTCGTACCCAGTTTATTGTAACGTAAACATCCCGTGATTCTAATATCGACCAATTAGAAGCTCCGTTATTTTAAAAATTATATATATGATATTTTCCTGTAATGATTTTGTTGTAATTGTAATGCAAATGTATAATATATAATATTATATAGAATATAACATTATATATAGAATATAATATTAAAAATGGCTAGATAGACATACGTAAAAAACTATTATTTATTTTAACATTCAAAATGAAAAAAAAATTGTTTTTGCTATAGTTGTTTTCGTTATTTTATTAAGATTTTTTATATTAAGATTTTATTTATAACAAAATGTTTAACATTTTTACTTACCAAATATTCTATAACAACTGTTGTCTACCAAATTATAGCATGAAATGGCCTTTTTGTTTTAAACTAATGTTTAAGCTGTACCTTTAATACTTAATGTACCTGCGTACAGTCGGCATCAAAGTCAATTAATAAGATTAGCATCAGAATTAGATGAACAATGTGAAAGGTCAAAATTAGCTCAATAGGTATGCAACAACTTGGATTAAAACCTGTGTATCTAACAGTGTATAGGAATCAACTTTATTTCTTTGTTTAAATATTTTTGCTATACACAAAAATATAACAAAGAAATGGTCTAAATATCAATTGAACACTACAATTGCAGATTTATTTTTTAGAAATGTCTTCTAATCAACCTAGAAAGTAGCGATACTTTTGGTGCTGACTGTATTCACATATTGTCTAATTAGATACCTAAAAATATTCTTACTTAAATAATAAGAAATAACTAAACATAAAGAGCTACTTGCAAATGAAAAACACAAGCAAGTTGTAATTGCAAATTAAACAATGGATGTCTATAGCGCAGTGAATGCCAAATAAAAGATATAGAAATATGGCTAAACAATATTATGATTATATAATAACAAAATGTTTCTGTCACATACCAGGAATCCAGGATTCCAAAGAATTTAAAAACAATAACTTTTTTTTTATACAAATACATTACCTAAATCATTGATGTGTTTGTAGTTATCGTTGCACTAAATTTTCTTATTCTCAAAAGACGCATGGCGTGACATTCTCACTTGTTGTCTTATGAACACCGTTTATTGAATCTCAAGTATCTTTTTTTACGTTGTAAACAAGTCAATGATGCATTTATTTATATAATATAGACACAAGAAACACGTGTGGTAAATACAAAATTAATTTTTGGCATAAATAAACTAACATTGATTAGAGTAGCAATTCTCTCTAATTTTAATATCTTTATTAATAATATTGAGAAAATTGCGCTAACAGTACGTTATGATGCATATTTCTAATAAGTAAAATTTAATTTAAAATACCAAGATACATACCATCAGCCTCTGGTGTCGCCTGTAGTTGATATTTGTTATCAGACGCTGACACTCCAAATATTTTGATGTTTATAACACATATAAGTATACACCACCACATACTGGCACAGAATTTGGGGGCTGCCCGATGACAGCCCACCAAAACGAACATTCGTCCTCTGGAAACTTTCGATTTTGTCAAATTCACTATGTAGCAACACTGTTGAACAATATACTATTGATGTTCGTCTCTATATGTCATCTACCACTGAGAATTTTTACTTTATTCTTCACTTCACTGTTAATAATCCAAGGAAGGCCAATATTTTGGTGATGAGCGTTTTGAGGTTATTTTTACGTACCACTCCACTGGTGCGAGTGCGATGGAGAAATGTCGTGCAAGCAGGCAGGTGTGTACCGTGCAAGTATCAACGACGACGCTAGATGGCGGTACGGGTGCGCGCGTGACGTTTATCTCGCTTAGTTTCGGCGACCGAACCGTGGCGCTGCGACGCTGATTCTAGCTAGAGATTTTTCCAACGCATCGCGCGGACGACATTGCGTTAGGATACGCTCACATGTTACAATAAAATACAGTATATAGAACAACCGTCAAAATAATAAGTAAACCGTTGATCTTTACGAGGATGACTGCTATAAAACTGGATTTCTTATGGCACCTAATAAGACATTCGTATTATTGTAGACCAGCAACTTTTGTAGTTTATCATAATTACATATTTGGATTACTGAAAATTATTTATTGAACTATAATTATACTGTAAACATAATAAAATACCTTATACGATTAACTTTATACTACAATGTAGCATCTCCATTATTGTGCAGTATGTACTTATTCGATGCCTCATACACACAATTTCGTTCAATAATGATATAAAACTTTTATTGAAAATTTTCCCCAAAGAATTGTGGGTCGTTAAATGCAAAAAAAAAAGTTAATTCTTATATAGTTTGACAAGGTTTGTATCTTAGGGAAAAAAAAAACTTTATTTGCACCACACATTTATTAGTACGGTAGACTCAATATTTTTTACCATTTTTGGACTCAGGGTTAAGTTACAAAATTTAACTAATTTGACCACGAATAACATTTCCTTAAAAGAATTATAGTTATTTAGATTTCACTCTATGTAATTAATATTGATTATATTTTATTGATTCATTTTGTACAATAAGTAATAATTAAGCAACATGTACGTTTTTAAAAATTAAAAAAGGAAGCTATATGTACAATAAATGCAATTACTTTAGTTATGTGTACAGACCCTTACATCGAAATTGGATTGCGCGCGCATCTTAACAGTCGGCTATCGTCGAAAGACGTCGGGGGCGTGGCGCAGTCGTTACGCACTACCACCACGCAACTGGGAGATAAGACAACCGACTAACCGACCGACAAGAATAGCATCCGCCACGGCTCATTCAGCAACTCCACACCTACATACACAATCTAGTCGGTTAACACATGAATAGAACACTGCTCCTGAAAATATCTCTTTTACAGCATCATCGAAATAATGTACAGGCAAAGGTTAACTCGGTTAGTGTTAGTGTATAATTATAAAATGGGATTTTCTTTTATTATATATAATATATGCCCCTTAATTCTAACATTGAAAATATTTTTAAATTGCATTTCTAATATACTTAATCAGATAATTTCCACTAACAATGTTAATTTCTCCATTCTTGACAATTTTGTCTATTAACTATTGATTACACTTTCAGTTTATATTTTTCTTATAGTTGTATACATATTACTTGTCGCAAATTATTACATTCTGTGTTTATAGTAAACTTTAATGATACGAACCTTTGTCTTGGTAAGACAGTTATACCCTCCTGCTACATCCGTTTGTTACGACGCTAAGGATTATCCGCCTACGTGATGAGATCTGAGCAAAGTAGAATAAGGATTCGGTTAGATAACATTGGACCACTCAAGTAGGTTTAATTTGTGCCATTTTTCGAGTATTTTATATGTCTGACATTATAGAGATTACAAAATTCAAACCATTTAAATGCTTGACAAAGGCGTAAATTATAATCGTGTTAAAAATCAAAGCCAAAATTAAAAGTATATGTCAAAACAAAATTTTAGTTTGACATTTTTCTAATTCTTTCTTATTATAGCACGACATATGAGCACACTATCTTAAGTTAACACAGAAACAACATGGTCCATGAATACGGTCAATCGAATCGAAAAGAGAATATTTTACTCTACGATTACTACTAAGTGCTTTTTCGTTTTCCTTTAATTAATCTGCTGGCTTCTAGTTATTCTGAACCAAAAAGACTTAAAAGGATCTAGTGAGGCTGAGAAACGTACAACACAGCTATTTCATAACCCTACCCTACCGAATCTAAGTTTAAATTTGGGATGCTATTGATTAATTAACTAACACGCGTGACTGGAATATTATTTCGATTGATCAGGATAAAAATATGATGCCGTTATTAATAAATCATAATTTTTGTTAAACATACAAACAAACCCATTGTCGCTGTTGAAATTACTAAGGTCAGCTTAGTAGATATTAAAGATATAATTTCTTGGTGTCAGTTTATTGCATTCCTTTTAACTGAAACACAACAAGCGGACAGACTTTGCTTCACTAATTTTTATTTATATTGAATCATTATTAATTTCATCTGTGTTAGTATTAAATACAATATCAACTGATCTATTAACCGAATGCTGGTAGTACCCTCTAGTCTTGAAAGTTTGACATGGCTTACCAAACAATAATTTAACATATCCTCAGAAATATGACAAGTTTTAATTAATCGAATTGAAGCCGATAAGAATTCTAAAAATTAACTTATTGTTTAGAATTCGATCTCGAAATTCCTGAACTGGAATTAGGCGTTCACCAACCAATCTGAGCAGTGGCTTAAAGTTGCTCACTGAACAGTACAAAGGCTTTACAATAATAGAAATTGTTTACATTTATAGATATAATAATAAATATAGCGGTAGAATTGACACTCCAATAAATTTAATAATAACTGTTACGACGACACGCTCAAGGTTTGTGTCCAACTATTAAGTCAGGACTGGCAAGCAGCAAATATGATATTAAAAGTATATGTCTCCCTTGCACGTGTGTCGCGTTAGCCATAGCACGTAGTAAATTCATTTTCGAATTTAAATGCGAACAGTGACTACCGTCTAAACCTATGTGGAGTCTAAAAAGAAGAGTACATTTTGGCGGATTTACAAAGAAAAATATATGTTATTATATTATATAATATATGTTTATTTCTGCCCGATCTATTTATTCTTGTGATCTTTATATAGACTTTAGCGATATGTAATAGTGTATTCTGAACGTGAACTTTTATATTAGGCCAAAGTAAATTCTAGGCTTAACTAGTTTATCTCAACACATTTTGAAGATACTGGTTTGGCCTGGGATATAAAACTTGTTCATCCTAAAATCGGGCTTGGTCGAATAACACGTATGAGTACGTACTACGTTAAGCCCCTTTATTACGTTCACGTGTGTTTAAACATGAATTAACCCGCCACAAGTAAACAATGCATTGAATTAATTTATCGTCCAATATATATCTGATAATCCCTTTCTGATTTAATATTTAATTGCGTAAACCTGGCGAATATTGAATAAGTTACTAGCTGGGTGCTATGACTGCGCACGTAAATAAAATTTGAATACTAATAATTATAACGAAACTGGTACTCAAAAATATTTCTGGGCATGACGAAGTTCAAACTGTCAACAAAAGGATTGAAGTGTTTTCAGGGTTTACAATTTTTTATTCCACCTTAACTTCAAAACGCCTGAACAGATTTTGGCATATGGAATGTAGAATCCTTACATATTCAAATTAAAAATAATTCGTTATTGGCAGTCCAATCGTGTTTATTTAATTTTTGGAATAAAATGCAAGTACTTTTTAACGATCTCTTTGTTAATGTTGAACTGATAAGAGTTTACTCTCGTGTATAAATCTTCAGTTAATTTAATTAATATTACAAATATGAAAGTGTGTTTGTTTATTACCTAGTAGCGCTTTAAAGGTTTAAATACGTACTATTTAGCTCTGAAAAAGATACCAGGTTACTCAGAAAGTATTACGAAAATTTTTTTTTTTATATATGTGAAACTAGCCAGTTACAATTTATTTAAAAATGTGATTACTTATAAGTAAAAATAGGTACATTCTAAATTCAAAACTTCCCTTCACATTTTTTGCGAGCTAATTAAAATTACCGTGTCTCATTGAAAAATGGATCGAGAACATTTTCGCGCTATGTTTTTTTACGATTTAAGTGTCGCTTGAAACCGGACGAATCATACGATAGACTTCAAATAGCATTCATGGATAAAGGCCCTTCTAAGGCAACCGTGTATTGTTGGTATAATGAATTTAGGCGCGGTTAACTAACTTTGGGGGATCAAGAAAGAAGTGGTCACCTTTTGACGACTGTTACGGAAGAAAATGTGTTAGCAGTGAAAAATTTTATCCAAGACAATAGACGAGTTACATACCAAGAAATTCAGCATATACTGCAAATTGGATCAGGAAGCCTTCACGAGATTCTACACGTGCATCTACGGGTGCGGAGGATAGTTTCACGCTGTGTGGCAGGGCTCCGCGGGCTACTGCTCCACCACGATAATGCGCCCGCCCACACCGCAATCAAAACGAGGGACTTCCTAGACAGCACACCAGTCAAACTCCTGGGTCACCCTCCTTACAGCCTTGACCTAGCATCGTGTAGCTTCTTCTTATTCCCAAAAATAAAAAAATTAGCTCAAAGGGATACAATTTTCGTCGACGGATTATGCGTTCTCAGCGTTCGAGCAGGCTGTAAACGAGGTGTCTGCGGCGGATTAGAAAAAGTGTTTCGAAAACTGGTTCAGACGCATGAAACTTTGTATAGAGGCTGGTGGAGAGTACTTTCAAAAGATGTAATAAAAATATATTTACCTATAGAACATTTTTTTTAGTGTCACAAAACTTTCTGAGCGTCCGACGTATACTACAGCTACTTTTTATCCCAGCTAGTAAACACATTCTCGAGTAATAGCTGGTAATTCTGTAAAAGTATGTGTCTAGGATAAGATTCGAAACATTATTTTACTTTATCTGCTTCTTTCTTCTCGAACCCCGGAAATTTAATACGAAAATTGGCTATCACTACTACATAAACGGAGTTCAACTGTATACGTGCAAATCTGTGTGTATAACCAAGCGTGGAACATTTCTTTTTCCAACGGTCATATTCAAGTCGCATTGAGCGTACTTTACAGGATTGTATATACTATTTTTAGTTTGTGATACTATACTGTGCTATTGTAATAATACTAGGAAAAAAACCACGCATGACCTCGCTTCCGCTGAAAAAAGCACCTGTTTCGTATCTCCCCACAGAAAATTTAAATATTTGTAAATAAAGTTACGTGATAACTTTTGATTGTGTGCTTTTAAATAACTTTAATAATATTAGGGT